CAGGCATGTACCACCATGCCTGGCTAATTTTGTATTTTTAGTAGAGATGGGCTTTCTCCATTTTGGTCAGGCTGTTCTTGAACTCCTGACCTCAGGTGATACACTCGCCTCAGCCTCCCAAAGTGCTGGGATTACAGGCACAAGCCACTGTGCCTGGTTTTGTTTGTTTGTTTGAGACAGAGTCTTGCTGTGTCGCCCAGGCTGGGGTACAGTGGTGCAATCTCGGCTCATTGCAACCTCTGCCTCTCGGGTTCGAGGGATTCCCATGCCTCAGACTCCTGAGTAGCTAGGACTGCGCCACCACACCTGGCTAAATTTTGTATCTTTTAGTAGAGTCGGAGTTTCACCATGTTGGCCAGGCTGGTCTCGAACTCCTGACCTCAAGTGATCCACCTGCCTCAGCCTCCCAAAGTGCTGGGATGACGGGCATGAATCACTACACCTGCCCCATCCCGTGTTTCTGCTTCGACGTCACGTCTGCAATGCCCGGTGGACTGCCTCACTCCTTCCTTCTGTGAGCTCTCACAGCCCAGCTGCTCTGTGTCCCTCGCCGCTATGATCAGCTCGTTGAAGGCAGGAACGGTTTCTTTCTCATGCCTGTATTCCCAGAGCCTCACATGGAGTCCGGTGTGCAGTAGGTGTTCATAAAGTTTTGCTGAATGAATGAATATCAGCACAGTGTATCAACCATCGCCTGGTTCCTACCAGGAACATGTGGGAGACATGCCTCCTTCACATGCCTGTTTCCTATGTATGGCAAAGGTCGCCTAGGGAACTACCCTGAAGCAGAGAGTCTACTCCAAAATGATCACAAGACCATTTCCCAACCCGCATGTTCTTCTAGAACCTTGCAGTTCTCCAAGTCTGTGTCCTCTCTGCCTGAAATTGGACAAGCCCCTCTGGCCAGCTGGGGATGGTGGAAGAGACACTAGGAGACTTCCAGGGCTGGCACCTCAAAGGTGATTCCGATTTGATCTGGCTCTCTCTTGGGACCCTCATTCTTAGAACCCAGCCCCCCTGCCATGAGAACCCCAGGTCACATGGAGAGGAAAAGAGGCCCCGCCCTCAGCCCAGGCTGAGATCTCAATGGGTGGCACATGCCAACTTTCCAGCCATGTCCCTGTGTCTCCTCGGACGTGGATCCCGCATCCCTCGGTTGAGAGGACCCAGAGGATACCGTGTGGGTGGGAGACAAGCCCTCCCCACAGAGCCCCACCCAACCCGCAGGTTCATGTGGAAATGAATGTTGCAAGCAAGTGCATTCAGGGTGGTTTGTTACACAGAAATAGATCACCGAAATACAGCTTCAGACAATATACAGGCAGGGCTGGCACTCGCGCCTGAAATCCCAGCACTTCGGGGGCCAAGACGGAAACATTGCTTGAGACCAGGGGTTCAAGACCAGCCTGGAAAGCATAGGGAGACCCCCATCTCTACAAAAATTTTAAAAATTAGCTGGGCGTGGTGACACACACCTGTAATCCCAGCTACTCAGAAGGCTGAGGTGGGAGGACCGCTTGAAGCCTGGGAAGTGGAGGCTGCAGTGAGCTATGATGACGCCATCGCACTCCAGCCTGGGCCACAGAGAGAGATCCTACCTCAAAAAAAAGAAAGACCACATGTGGCCTCTGGCACTGGAGGAGGATTTCTTTCTCCTGATGGGTCCTTCCTGCCAGGGATCCTGGCTTATTCTGTAAGGGGCTGGGAACAGACTCTGGTGTGGCCCATTTAGACATCTGCCTGCAATGTAACAGGCTTGTGATATAATCAAGGAGTGCGCCGGGGCAAATGGGGTCAGACTTGCGGACCTGCAGGCCATCCCAGCTTATCCGTCTATCCCTGGTTCCTGGGGGCCACCCAGCAAGAACCCCTTCCTGATAGCAGTCTTCTTTTGGAACACATGGGAGGAACACCGGGTCTCAACTCAGAGAGACACATTCGCTTCACCCCAGGTGGTACTAACAAATCAACTGAACCTGCCTATCATTTGGGCATCAAACCACTGTGTCCAGGGCCAGCCTCTCAGGCCACTATCTTAAACACGCAAAAGGACATATTTTACAGTATGTAGCATGAGGACACACTGTTCAACATTACAAGTTTGGCAAACATTTGTGTGTGTGTTTCGTTTTGCTGGTTTTCCACCTCGCAGGTTTAAGCGATTCTCCTGCCTCAGCCTTGCGAGCAGCTGGGATTACAGGCGCCTGCCACCACATCTGGCTAATTTTTGCATTTTTAGTAGAGACAGGGTTTCACCATGTTGGTCAGGCTGGTCTTGAACTTCTGGCCTCAAGTGATCCACCCACCTCGGCCTCCCAAAGTGCTGGGATTACAGACATAATCCCAGGCGCCTGACCTTTTTTTTTTTTACAGTTTTTTTTTGAGACAGGGTCTTGCTCTGTTGCCCAATCTGGATGGCAGTGGCACAATCACGGCTCACTGTAGCCTTGGGCTCCTGGGCCCAACCTGTCCTCCCGCCTCAGCACCCTGAGTAGCCGGGACCACAGGCACATGTCCTCTGGCTAATTGTTCTTTGTGTTTTTTTGTAGATTCAAGGTCTCCCTATGTTGCTCAGGCTGATCTCAAACTCCTGGGCTCAAACTATCTTCCCGTCTTGGCCTCGTAAGTGCTGGGATTACAGGTGTGGGCCCCCGCACCCAGCTAACATTCGTTTTTCTATCATTCTGCTTTACCTAGATAAATAAAAATCCTAGAATGGCAGCTTCTAGGACACTGAATTGGTTCCACGAGGAGGTGGTTTAGTTTAGAGTGTGTGAGGAACCTACTTGCCCCTAAGTGACATTTTCTGTTTTCTAATAACTCCTCCAAGCCCTTTCCCATTCATTGCTCAAACGCAGCGGCACTTCCTCCCCTGGAAGTGTGTGCTTTTCTTCCGCTGAGCTGCACATTTTCCACATCCCACTCCTATCCCCCCCTCCTCACCCAGACCCACGGGCCACCCTTGCCAGCCTTGTCTCTGCCTTGGGAAGGTGGCATCTGAAAGCTACACTCCCTCTGCCAGCACCCTGGAGGTCTCTGCAGACTTTGAAGCGCTGCGGAAGGTGAGGAGGGCTGGGAAGGGAGAGGGGGGTCTTCTCCCTCTTCCCTGCCTGCTAGGCCTTGGGGGGTTTTGTTGTTTGTTTGGTTTTGTTTTCTTTTCTCTCTCTCTTCTTTTTGAAACAGAGTGTGAGAACACAATCTCAGCTCACTGCAAACTCCGCCTCCTGGGGTTCATGCAATTCTCCTGCCTGAGCCTCCCAAGTACCTGGGATTACAGACATTTGCCACCACACCCAGCTAATTTTTGTATTTTTTGTAGAGACAGGGTTTCACCACGTTGGCCAGGCTGGTCTCGAACTCCTGACCTCAAGTGATCTGCCTGTCTTGGCCTCCCAAAGTGCTGGGATTACAGGTGTGAGCCACCACGCCCGGCCCTTGGTTTTGTTTTCTAGAAAAAGAATCTCACTATGTTGTCCGGGCTGGTCTCAAACTCCTGGGCTCTAGTGCTCCCACCTCAGCCTCCCAAAGTGCCGGGATTACAGGTGTGAGCCACTGCACCCGGCCCCTTCTTCATTCCCTTAACCCTGCCCACAACATGTGTTCTGGGCTACCCCGTGTTGTGATAACCTGCTTTTTGTTAGCTTACACTGACTCTCTTAGCTGAGAGCTGTTCAGGCCTCGTGTTAGCTTCTTAAGCCAGACAGACTCCATCTTAGCTTCTTCATTTTAGTTATTCCCCTCATTAAGTATGCAACTGTAGTATGCAGGTGGGGCAGGACAACCGCAGACACATCCCGCAGTGCATTTGCTGATAAGAGGCCGAGCAAAGCGGCCCCAGCAGAGCCTGGGACTGCAGGTGCTGTCTAGTGCCCAGAGCCCTCATATCTACAAGTTGTATGTCTTTTTATGACAGCTCTAGCCCTTGCGCCTGGCACTGTTTCATTTCTCATGTACTAGTTTATCTTTTAACTTTTTGCTTACTCTGCTTCTGTGAAAAAATTGCTTCAGCTAGGTTCCCCCCTCCCTTTTCAAACTAGGGTATAAAAAAATCCCCTAACTCTTTCTTCAGGGCCAAGAGAATTTTGGGCATTAGCCACCTGTCTGTGGCCGACTAAAATAAAGGACTCATAATTCAATCTCAGAGTGTGGTGCATTCCTTGACTCACTCAAGTATAACAGTGTCTCCCACAAATTCTATGCTGAAATCTTAACCCCCAGGACCTCAGAACACGGCTGTATTTGGAGACAGAGTCTTTAATGGGAGGTTAGGGTGGGCTATAACCCAATAGGACTGGTGTCCTTTTTGTTTTTGCTTTTTAAATTTAAGGCCTACAGCAGGATGGCAGCCTTTTAGGAAGAAATTAAGGCCAGGCGCGGTGGTTCAAATCTGTAATCCCAGGAATTTGGAAGGCCGAAGCAGGTGGATCGCCTGAGGTCAAGAGTTCGAGACCAGCCTGGCCAACAAGGCGAAACCCCGTCTCTACTAAAAATACAAAAAATTAGCCTGGCGTGGTGGTGCGCACCTGTAATCCCAGCTACTCCAAGGCTAAGGTGGGAAAATCGCTTGAACACGGGAGGCAGAGGTTGCCGTGAGCCAAGATTGTGCCATTGCACTCCAGCCTGGGAAACAAGAGTGAAACTCTGTCTCAAAAAAGAGAAGAAGAAGAAAGGAAGACAGACACACACAGAGGGATGACCACATGAGGACACAGGGAAAAGGCAGCATCTGCAAGCCCAAAGAGAGGCCTCAGAAGAAACCAAAGCTGCCAGATCTTGGACGCCCAGCTTCCAGAACTGCAAGGAAATACATTTGTGTTCTTGAAGGCTCCCAGGAAGAACCACAGGGAGCAGCCTCCCCATTCACCTACTCAGGCAGCCTTCGGAGTGAGCCTGAATCCTTCTGGGACCTGCCTCACCCACCCAGTATCACCAATGGCGCTATCATATGTCCCATCACCAACCCCGTGATATGTATCATCATGTTTCCACATCCGTACATCTGTCTGCATTTATCCCATGAATTCCTCTTTACTGAAATACTGCAGGACTCACTGCCACAAAAAGTACTTAAGCGGAAAGACTTTCCAAGAGGAGCCAAGTCAATTCAGCTCTCCACCGTGCAAAGCATCTTGTTGTTTCTATAATAAAGGTCCTTCCATGTTCAGGGTGCTATGGCTCTGGAACCTGGATGAGTCATGCTTGGGCCCCAGGGTGCCTCTGAAGATGCTGCATGAGAATTTCGGCTGCGGTGGCAGTGCCTGGGAGTCCCACTGACTCAGGGGGAGGCCAGGCGAGATGAGCTGGAACTTTTAGGGGAGAGCTGGAACTTAGGGACATCTACAAAGCAAAAAGGAATCACGAGAGCGAGAGTTATTAAAACACCAAGGGAGCTATATCTAGTTAAACTGACTTTAACACCATAAAACAATTTTACAAGATTATAGGGCTGGATGAGATTTATTGAGATTTCCCAGCTTCACTCCCCTCTCCTCTGCCCCCATGCAATCTTCACCCTGAGCTACAAATAATACGTTCTTTAGCGTCCCAAGTGCTCTCACTAACTATTTCATCTGAACCTCAAGATCACATGCAATAGAGAGGATAGTATTAAGTTTCATTTTGCAAATAAATGAAACTGAGGAACAGGCCATTTGAGTGACAATCTAAGTTCACACCGCTAAAAAGTGTCACAGATGGGGCTGGAGACGGGATTTTTAGACGAGAATAATGGCATCATTTCCATATTTTAATTTTAAATATTCTTTTAAATAGATATTTTTTAGAGATGGGGTCTCCCTATGTTGCCCAGGCTGGTCTTCAATTCCTTGATCCTCTCAGCCCCACCTCTCAAAGTGCTGGGATTGCCAGCGTGAGCCACCCACACGGCCCGTTCCCGTAATTTACACTCTCCATTAATCAATGCATGCGCACGATCTCTCTAAAACGGCAAATGTCACAGGCTGACATCACAACCGAAACTCACAGTGGGAAGGGATTTCTCCTCGACATCTAGCCGTGAGCAGGAAAGGGAAGAGAATGCAGAGAAGAAAAGAAAGAAATAATCGGAGCTGAGCTTGCAGGGAGAGAGAGTGAGGCGCTATTTAAAGTTCACCCTTATCTTGGTTCCAACTGTGCAAAGAGAGACCTAAGAGGATTGGGCTGAGCACAGAGACCGTGGCCTCTCCCAAGCACAATGCCCCCCCACCACCCCCGGTACTCCATTCTAAGCTGGCAAGCTGCAGGAGTCAGATCAGCATCCTTGTCACATCTAACACTGTGGCGAGTGTGTTTGCAACACACAGGGTTTCTGTAAGTCTGTGAAAATCCTACTTTAGACTGTCAATGACTCAGCAACAACCTCCGCCGATGATGGCTCCCTGGTCCTCCCTCCATCTAAGGTGCTCCCTCTCGTTCCACAAGGAAGCCCCACCCCAGCATGAAGTGTGCGCTCTGGTCCTCCCGTAAGTTTATCTGTCCTTCCAGGACTGCCTCCCTGCAGGAAGCTCGCATGCTTCCATCCACAGCAAAGCTTCTGGCAGGTGGGGTTGTGAAGACTTTATTACCAACTCCTCTGGCTTCGTGTTGAACGTATGCTCTTAAGCATTAGTATTCACTTGTAAGTGTAGTTCTTTGTCTCCCAATGAGACTGCAAACTCCCTGCAAGCAAAGCTGCATTCTGTATTTTGTTTTTGAGACAGGGCTTCACTCTGTCTCCCAGGCTGCAGTGCAGTGGCACAATCACAGCTCACTGCAGCCTTGACCTCCTGGGCTCAAGCAATCCTCCCACCTCGGCCTCCTGAGTAGCTGGGACTACAGGTGTGCACCACCATGCCTGGCTAATTTTTTAAAACGCTTTTGTACAGTCTCCCTATGTTCCCTAGGCTTGTCCTGAACTCCCAGGCTCAAGCAATCCTCCTGCCTTGGCCTCCCGAAGTGCTGGGATTACAGGCCCACTGTGCCCAGCCAAAGCTGGAAGCTTACACTTCGTTGAATCTACAGGTGTCTGCCTATAGTAGGTGCAGCATGTTTGTTGATTTTTCTGGGGACAGTGTGGGCAAAACTGGGGTCAAAGTAGCAAGTTGTTAGCATCAAAGAGGAAAGGGGGAAGAGACCGGAGTAAATCATCTTCCCTGGTTTGAAGCTGCGGTGCTAAGATCCCTGTAGCGGAAGCATTTTCATTGTTGTTTCAAGATCAGCACAAGGTAAGAAAATAAACAGGAAGGTCCCTCTGTGCTTTATTAGTAACAATGAAGACAAAATAATATCTGTTGAATGGCCAGCTGCAGTGGCTCACGCCTGTAATCCCAGCACTTTGGGAGGCCAAGGCAGGCGGATCACTGAGGTCAGGAGTCTGAGACCAGCCTGGCCAACATGGTGACACCCATCGCTACTAAAAATGCAAACATTAGCCGGGCATGGTAGTGTGCACCTGGAATCCCACCTACTCGGGACGATGAGGTGGGAGAATCGCCTGAACCTGGGAGGCGGAGGTGACAGTGAGCAAGACTGCGACATTGCACTCCGGCCTGGGCAACAAGAGTGAAACTCCATTTCAAAAACAATAAATTAATTAAATTAAATAATACCTGTTGAATGAAGAAAAGGCCTATGTCTCTGCGATACAAGAATGGGCTAGTCACATCTCACCTGTAACAGTTTCAGATTTAATCCTATTACGGTGCTATGCTTATCTGTCACTGCATTTACGGAACCCTTTGTCCTGAGTCCCCGGGCAGACCACAGGTCCAGGCAGGCTCCTCACAGCCCACCTTTTTCACTGTGGCAGGTCCCAGCGCCTCCCCCGCTCCCCTTTCCTCTTGGTAGCTGTCACCATCCATCCAGACTACGGCATTCTCTTCCCTGCAAGCTGGGCTCAGGAAAGATGGTCTCCTTCCGGCCACCATTCCTTGTGGTCCCGGAACACAAGCTCGCAGACCCTCTTCATTTCGAGACTTTCGTATCCATTATTACAAGAGATAAGACAAGACTGAAGGGGGAAAACACGGGAAAGTTACAGAAAAGGCTCAAAATCTGACGGTTTTGAACCCTGCTCTGTAGCACCTATCTGGTTGAAATGATAACTAGAAATTTCTTCTATACCTATCTTAGGGTCTCCCAAACCTTTTCTTTCCTACTGATCTGTGCTCCCTGGCTGTGAATCCATCCCCACCTTCTTTCCCCAGAAAGGTCCATCTTTGCAGCACATGGACTTAATAGCAAGAAGCATCGTAGGGGGATAACGGAACCCTCATTTCACGTGATTTAATGTCTGCGAACCTCGAGACACAGCAAGGCACACTTCATGACGCCTCTATTCTCCATGGGATTCTTCCCAAAAGGGCATTTTCCTAGGGCTCCTCAGGGATTATTTTTGCTTTTCTCCCTCTTTGAAAATAAGCAAGCATGTTTATTTTTTGAATAGATTACTGTTCCACATAGTTCAATATTCAAAATGTACAAAAGCATTCAGTGAAAAATCTCCCCCCACCTCATCCTCAGCCTCCGAGGTCCCTTTCTCGAAGTTACCAGGGTTTTCTCGTTGTTGTTTTTTGTCTACTTCTAGCAATACTGTATATGTATGTGAGCAAATGCAGACTCAGAATGCAAACGTAATGCCCCCCTCTCCTTTTTTACACAATTGGTAGCACATTGTGATCACCACTGCTGTCTTCTCACAATATATGTGACAGAGGCTATGTATGGGGGGCGTGTGTATGTGTTTATGTGGGTTACAAATCAATACACGAGGCTGGGCATGGTGGCTCATGCCTGTAATCCCAGCACTTTGGGAGGCCGAGGTGGATGAATCACCTGAGGTCGAGAGTTCGAGACCAGCCTGGCCAACATGATGAAACCCCATCCCTACTAAAAATGCAAAAATTAGCCAAGCGTGGTGGTGCACTCCTATGTAAGTACCAGCTACTTGGGAGGCTGAGGCAGGAGAACTGCTTGAACCCAGGAGGTGGAGATTGTAGTGAGTTCACGCCACTGCACTCCAGTCTGAGCAACAGAGTGAGACTCCATCTAAAAACAAAATACAAAAAAAAAAAACTGGAAAAAAAAAAAAAACAACACTCAAATCAATACACAAAGAACTTCCCCAGTCTTTCAACAGCTGTATAACCGTTCACATCCTGATGAACCATACCGATAGATATTTGGGCCATTTTCAACGTCTTGCTCTTACAAACGATGCCGACATGAATGACCTTTACGAATGTGCAGGACCCCCTGCTGCAGCTGTCTGCTTTCTGGTAGGTGGATGTTGCCAACAGCCACGCCATCTACCAGCATTCCTAGGGCTGCCCTGGAACACCATGACAAGAATATTCTGGCGGGTGGCGGTGGCTCACACCTGTAATCCCGGCACTTTGGGAAGCCAAGGCAGGCAGATCACCTGAAGTCAGGAGTTCAAGACGAGGCCGGCAAACATGGTGAAACCCCATCTCTACTAAAAATATTAAAAAAAAAAGAAGAAGAAAAATAGCTGGGTGTGGTGGCGTACTCCTGTAGTCCCAGCTGCTTCGGAGGCTGAGACAGGAGAATCACTTGAACTCAGGAGGCAGAGGTTGCAGTGAGTCAAGATCCCGCCACTGCACTCCAGCCTGGGTGACAGAGTGAGACTTCATCCAAATAAGCCAAGACCAAAAACAAAAGAACAACAGAAAAGAATTTTCCAGTCCTCCATCTGTTCCTACGAAGAAGGATGGGATCAGGTAATTCAATATTTTTCTCATCAGTTGAGTTTCTGTTCTTTTTCGAGAGGTATTTATCCTGATGTGCCATTATTGTGTCTTTAAATAGAAGAGAAATGCAAGGCCATGCGCTCGACATTGGAATTCTCCAGGGTTCTGTTCTTGGCCCACTTCCTGGCCAATCGGTGCCTGAATTTTCCATGGCTGGACGTGTTTCTCTCACCTGCTGTTCCCCTGGGCTCCAGGCCCATCTATTCAGGCCTCTTCTGAACTCGTATCCTTGTACCTCGAACCTGACATTTCCTGCTATGTTTCCAGTCCCAGACAGGAGAGGCATGAACCTTAATACAACTGCCCACCCCAGATATCTGGGACTTTTCCCTTCCTAGGCTGGAAGCTCTCCCCTGTAGCCCAGAAGCTTGAGAGCAGGGGCTGTGTCTTATGATTGTCTCCCTAGGGCTAGTTCAGTGCTTATAAAAATCCTTGTTCATTAATGATAAACGTACCAGTGCCGCCTCCTTCTTTCTCAGTTCAGGGCAATGGCTGAAACAGCCTTGCAGGTAGACTTTGCACAGGGATAGAAAATTCCCGTCTTTAGGCTAGATGTCATTTTTATTGGGCATGGAGAATTGTGTGAGAATG